TTATTTTTATAATTATTTACTTTAATATTTATACTTATTTAGTTTACTTACTAACTTTATATTTTACTAGTAAACTTATTATAAAGATACTTAGTATTTATTAGTAACTTTACTTATTACTTTTAGCTTAAAAAATATAAAATATAAAGTTATACTTATTTTTTTTAAGTACTTAAATAAGTATATATAATACTTATTTATTAAATATACTACTTACTTATATAAAGATAACTTTAGTAGCTAGAGCTTTTTTTTTAGCTAAAAAATTAGCTATATAAAGCTTACTTCTTTACTTTTAATAATATATTTATATACTTACTTTAGTAAAAGCTACTTTTATAAACTAAATTAGCTTTTATAGTAATATTAAATAATATATAAAAACTAATATTATTTTTATACTTTATAGTTTATAAGTTTTAATATAGTATAAAGTTTAAGCTACTTAGGCTATCTTAAAATAGTAAAAACTAGTATATAAAAGGTAATATTACTTAGTATAGAAACTAAAATTAAGTAATAAATTATATTTTAGAATAAATTTAACGTATTTAATTGTATAGGGCTAAAGCCAAGCAGAAGGTAGGCAGAAGGTGATGTCGCATAAGCCTAGGTCACATGTGTGATCGCAAAGGTAGAGCCAAGGCGACAGCCTGCCGTGAAGTGATACACCTTCTTTTGTGACACCGTAGTCATGCTCAGGCTTCCGTGGGGGAAGGCTTGTGCGCCATGGAGGCTGCTCTAGCTTTATAATTCTACTAGTGCCCTTTGCTCGTTCCTTTCCCTCCATGTATGACACCGAATGCTGAGCCTCAAGCATCTTGATATCGATCTCCGGCTTCGCGTTTGCTGTGGTCTCGGTGGAGAGGGGATGCTGGACGTCGACGGGTATCGATGGGATGTCGCTTTCCGCTACAGTGGGGCCCTTCATGATGACAGCGCGATTGTAGCACTTGCCGTCGTGTGCGTACAAGCGGATGTGCTTGTTTTTGGCACATTTGTTGTCCATGCAACCATTTTCGAATGGGTCGTGGTCGGGATTATATGCGGTGTCCATTAAAGGTTCTGAAATTGGTCAACTCTCAGTGTTCTTTACAAGGCGGCTTTTGGGTGAGTCTCATACCTGGATTTCCAAAATGATTCGGATGTCGTTTTTGGTTGTTGCTATTCGATGAGCGGCCGCACTCCGCGTCTCTGATGCTGCTTCGTTGTTTGCGGTTCTTTCGTTTGAGAAACTTCTCGTATTTAGTTTTGTTTGCCATTGTGTCTTATTTTCTTGTGTGTGTGAAAAGGATAAGAGGAAGCCTCACGTGTGTTTACTGACTTTGCGAGAGCCGTGCGCTTAGCGTGGCGCGTCACTATACCTATTTGGACCATCCTATGTTGGCCAGCCAGATATGTAACGACTGCAAGAGTCGAGACTGCATTAGTTGACACCTTACCGAATATCACAGGTGCTGAAATCGTGGTATCTGCTCGATGGCTTTGAGTAGCTTCGAGGAATGGAGCATTCACCGATCAGTATACTATTATGTTCAACGATGCGAATGAACTAACGCCCGCGTCTTAGGATACAGAAGGACCCTGACACAGAATGTATGAAGTCTTATTAACGGTTGGAGGATGAATAGAGCAGGAACAAGCACAATAAAAGCTAGTGTAATCGTGATTGAACTGCTGAGTGACTGCAGTGTAGTGAACGCTATCGCGAACGCGCGTCCACTGCAGGAACCTTTACAACTTCGCGAATGGTAAGCTTGGCTCTTTAAAACAGCAACGTACCGACCACGACGAGCCTTTTGCGAAGAAGTCGATAACAAAATGGCGAAGATGTCGTATGCTAATGGGATGCGAAACCAACCTATCCGCGACCACATAGGAAGCGTATCAAAGAGTCAAACGACACCACACCTTGAGATGTGAACGAGAGCGGAAAACGGGAAATATTGAGTGGTACCATACTCAAGGTACAGCCTAAGCGGAAAGATATCAGGCAGCATTGCTTTACGGGGTTCGAAGATATACGTAATAGCAAAGAGCCTAACAAGGAAACATGAGTACTTGGACAATGAAGGAGAAGATCAAATACCACAGTGCAAGCGGTACGGCCATGACTAAATACAAGACGTGTAAAAGGACGCAAACAGGAACAAAAAGAAAACATGCTATCGGGCAACTACATGACAGAATGTTGCGACACGACAAATTTGAATTAGCGGATCAAAAAGATAAGGAGGTCATCCCACGACAGCAGGCGCTGAGTAGATATCTTCCCATGACCATGCGTTTGGGCCACGACGGCTGAGTAGGACCTTGGGTTGAAGGCGCTCACCAAGACCTATGATGATAGCTTCCATGTTGTCTATGGCCTTTGGGTGTTGATCCGGATCTTGATCCGACTTCAAGTTTGCCATCATTTGGCGAGCGAGCTCGACAGACACTCGTCCGCTGGTGATGAGAAAACGAAGCTTTCTCCACGGTAGATAGTGTTCCCATCTACAAGCTGCACCAAGTGGACACCTGTCTGGGGTACCGAATGTATACCAACAGAGTCCAAACTGGTTCGACTTCCTGCAAAGGTAGAGTTCTGCCCAAAGCATCCCGTAATTCCGCGATCCGTCTTCGTTATTAGGATAGATGTGATGGCGCCGTAGTTTCCGATGACAAGTCTTCCAGGGCATAGGGTCGAAGAATTTGTCGCAGGGAGGTGGTATCGTGGCGATCTCCCCTTCCGGTACGATGATTTTGTCTGCAACTTTCTTCGCGCGAGTTAGAGCCGCCATCCAGGACTCCCAGTGTAGGACTGCTAATGACGTACCTTCAGTATCGAGAAGGCTTCCAAAAGAGACAGTCGAAAGATCCGGTGAAGCAATGTCAGTTGGTGAGACAATGTCAGTCTCCGTCGGCAAGTAGTGGTCAAAGCCTCTCTCTGGTGAAGATGATCTAGATAAATCGCTGCTCGATTGATAATCTTCGTCGAAGCAATAATGCCGGGAAGAACCGCGGGTTGAGGCTTCTGACGGACTCCGAGTCATCTGTCTTTGGGGAGATACAGGCGCGCACTGTGCAGGCGCTACTGTTGTGGCGTCATACTGTGGTAGAGGCTGAGAAGGTACGTAACCTGGCGCGCTCTGCGAAGGAAAGTGATGTGTCTGCGGCTGCGGAGGATGAGCTGGCTGAGGCAGTGGGCCGTATTGTTGCTGCGATGGAAAGCAAGTTCGCTGCGGTTCATAGTACTGTTGGGGCGGTGCAAAGGTTTGCGGCTGTGGGTGATACCACTGAGGCGGATACCACTGAGGTGGATGCCATGGAGGCGGATGCGCAGCGTAGTGCACTGATTGTGCCGGATATGGTTGTACTTGCGGAGTATACTGTGGAGGCGGAGCAAAAGGCTGTTGCGGTGGGAAGTACTGGGGCTGTTGATATGGGTACTGCGGTGGAGGCGGCGGTTGCTGTTGACTCGGTACAACTGTGTAGTTTACAGGTGGATATTGAGGTGGTGGCCCATTGGGATACGGGTACCAATGCTGAGGATTGGGATTTGTGTATGGGTACATCTGCGATATATTAGTAGAGATTCACATGAATTCCAATCTTGCACTCACTTCTTGATCACTGGAGAAGACGCCGAGTAGAACTGACATCGCGGAGCAGCAAGGTAGGAAGGCGCGGACTGTGCGCTTAGCGTCCCACGTAATCACGTGATCATTGTGTTCATGGCAACGGATGGGAAAACTTGAATAGCTCTGTTTGCGCGCCAAGAGCGCTAGTCGATGTTACATTTTTGGATGAGAACAATGAAATCTTGCTCAACGCCACCATCAAGCCCTCGCTCTGCGTCAGACATGATGGCTTTCGCGCGATCTCCTCTCAAGGAGCAAAGCTTGGCATTCAATGACTTCGTGTCCGGGTTGGATGCGCTATACGGTCCTCTCGAAGCTGCACTTGATGCGTCGGATGCCGAGCTTTTGCCTTTCATCAAGGCGGAGACCAAAGATACTGACATCGAAGCCGCACTTGATGTTTCAAATGCCGACCTCATGCCCTTCATCAAGGCGGAGCCCGCAGACACTGACATGAAAGCGACCATTGCTTCCAAAGCCGACCAGGCTCACTAATACGAGTACAGTGACGACTACCCCGACTCTCACGAACGAAGCCCTCCAACGCATCAAACTCGAGACAAAGCACTCCTTGCGCGCTTCGAACATTTCCTCCCAATAGCCATGTCCAAAGCCGCAGAAGCTACAGGCATCGACTACACCGGATGGGACGAGCACAAGGCCCTTGCGGCGATTGCCAAAGCCGTTGCGGTCTGGCCACGCCATGACTTAAGCTTCGTCGAGACTGATTACGAGCACGCCAAGCGCAGTTGGAAAAACAGGACTGACAAGGGGTACGATAGGAGGGTCCTGGCGGCATTTGACGACGATGACATCGCGGCTTTGGCTATCTACAATCGGATGAAACCGAGATACAGAAGACGTGTACTTACCAGGATTCGCCAAGGGGAGCGCCGCGGGAAGGTGTCGACTGGTGGTGATCATTATGAGCCGGGCATGTGAAGGGGGAAGACAAGAGAGCAAGGTCTTTGTCAAAGCGTTGGTTTGAAACGAGACCTGCTCTTTGCCTGCTGAGTGGAGTTTGAAGGAAGGAAGTTATGGGACTGTGGATACATAGCGTCAAGCTGAAGCAAGCATGTAGCTCCTGGGATGACAGGAAGTTGGAGGAACAGGACGGATCTGACATGTGGTATTGGCGGCCATTGAGTTTGACTACTTGGTGTGGAGCATGTATGCTAGCTCCTTTCTTGCTATTCTTGCACATGAAGTCGTTCCGGCAGCGCATCCTTTTTCTCAGCGTGATATCGCATCTCATGTCCTCCAACGTGTACCTCTCGCTAAGCCATCTAGTCATGCCAAATCCCAAACGTAGCTCCAGCGCTTAGTCATGCGTGTCGTTCAGATAGCCAGACGGCGATCCAATGCGCGCTAGCAAGTTCAGGCAAGAGTAAACATCTCGCCCGTCCAGCCATACTCTCTCTCGAGCCTCCTGCCATATCGCCTCGCCCAAGTCAAAGGTAGTTTGCTGAGCGCGCCGTGCGGAGCATGGAACTGGATCGCGCGCTCTGCAGCAAGGGTCGTCGGTGTGAACCGCCATGATGAACCGTGGAGCTTCTCAGCTTCAAAGCCGCGCTGCACCATAGCATGAACGAAGTCCTTCCAGGGTACTTCCGCCGGTACGTCTCGTGCTAAAGGTGAGAAGAACAGAGCCTTGAAGACCAGATAAGACCGCTTGTTGACCGTCACTTGCAGCTGTGGAAGGTTCAAGAGCTCATAAGGTTCAGGCTGATGTAGTGCAGAAAGGCTTACTGGGTCGGCGACACCACGAGTCTTTGTCTTCTCTTTGATCGTAGGTAGAAGTGGCTTGTAGACATATTGGGGGAGAATCTCATCATCATACTGGGTCGTCGGCTCAATCCACGGTGCGGTGCGACGAAGAGAGCGTCCGCGGGTGATGTCGTGCGCTAACAGATCAGGGTAGGTAGCTCCAGTCTGCTTCTTGCAAAATGCATCTGCAGCTTCCCAAAAGATATCGAGGTTCTCTTCCGCGAGACGCAGAGCGTTCGTAGTATCGCGGCAATGCTTCTCGGTGACTGGGTAATGAAACTTCCCGTCTGATGGATCTGCTAGGCGCGCTAACGTGACACTCTTGAAGCGTTTCATCGGCGCAACAGCTGCCCACCTCATTCCCAAACTCAGGAACTCCCCCGAGACCTCGTGATTAAGTAGACCATAGTCGTTCTCGATCCGCGTAGCCCAGGGTTGATAGGATCGGATTTGCTGGATACATTCTGAAGAGATCGCGATCTGTGAAAAGTCTGACCAGACAAAGGAAGACAAGAGACCCTTGGCCTCAGGCTCTTTTACGACCATTCTCTCCAGATCATCCAGCTCAGCAACAAATCCTGATTTTGGTGGCACCGACACACTCCAGATACGTGATAATACCTGCAAGAAGCGGGTCGTAGTTGAATCGCCCTTTGCTTGCGTTTCATCAATCTTGATCCAGCTAGCACCGCTATTGGGATCCGCCATGAGCTTAACAAAGTACGGTTGCATACCGGGGGCTCTCGGAACTCGCTGTCGGAAGCATTCGTGAAGGTCTGTATGTATAGCTTGGAGAATCGTCCACAGCCTCAGAAAGTTTCTGTGCTGCGTTTCAGGCAAATTCTGACTAGCAGAGAATTTGGTGTCAGATTCCCGAGCGGTGAACTGGAGAAGTTCCACCAGGCGCAAACACTCATGCCAATAGAACAGAGCTAGATATGGGTCGGTGATGAGATGGCGTAGAATAAGACCGGTCATTTCGTGAGGCGGCTCCTTCAGGATAGAGTTTACATTGCCGTCAGCGGACTTCATGTACTCGCCACGATGTGACTTGTAGTCATGGAAGACCTCAGAAAAGTAGCCAGGGTCTTCTCTAAGTGCCCAGATATGATCTTCCAGTTCACCGACCTTGGAGCTGACCAAGCTACGTAAGCGATCGAAGTTCAACTGTCTGGGAACGCCGTACGGAGTCAACAGCGAAAGCTCTGCGCGGTTCGTGTAGTTCGCAGTGTTTTCGATTACACAGGCCATCGGTGAGGTGATGGGATACTTCTCCGATTGTCCTTTCTCGTCGGCTAAGAGATCGCCTACTAGGAGGTGACAGCATCGCTTTAGGAATGTGTAGATAATCTCCTGTATGCAAAGTATCTGGAGACCATGGCCTGGGTGGACTCCATGGCCGTTATGGATAGTCTGCCGAGCATCTTGCGGGTCTGTCCAGCGCTTCATCCGACCATAGGAGTTCTGCTTGTTACATCCGGCGAAGGTCATCGTGAATCTGTGCAGACGCGGACGGAGGACTTGGTCTGAGCACCTGGCGATCGGACAGTTGAGGAGTTCTGTCTGGCTAAAAGATTCGACTGGGGTATGGCCACGGGAGTTGAGGAACGTAAGAAAGGTACCCTGCTGAAGAAGGTCCTCAAGGTTCAAGAAGGGCACCAGACAAGCTTCGCTGTTTCTCGCCGTACAGACGGGGACCGTACGTGGCTGATGTCCAAGGGTATTGATAAAGGTCGTACTCGCTGCCAGATCTACTGCGAGGTCAGGGCGATGCTCGCTTGCCATGCCCGGTTGCGCCGTAAGGAGCAGCTTCTTCTTCTTCGCTGTACTTTTCTTGCACCATCTCTTACGAATCGTGTCTTCGTGTCGCTCAAGGATGTCGTGCACGTTCTCATATGCATCGAAGATCTCGTTGACCTTGTGTTGAGCGAGGCGCTCTACCTCCTGGCGGGAGGGGAAGTAGTCGATCGCAGGGTAGGACCGAAAGAAGTGGTATAGCTTAGTACCACCAAGAGGGCGATCCGCAAATTTGTCGAGAAAGATCTCGTCGTCCGATCGTTCTGGGGTGAGGACTGCCGCTGGCGCGTCTAGCCGGTTGCGCGGCGCCATATCCAACGTCCAAAAGTCGGCTTGACGCGTTGATGAGAATGGCTTAGGCGACGAGATAGAAAGTGAAGGCAGCGGTTGAAGGGTCCAGGTAGAAACCGCGCACTCGGTCTAGCCCGATTTCGATAGCGTTAGCGCGTCATTTGCAAGTGACTTGGGATCCGTACTGAGAGCGGGGATTAAGCCAATACGCATTATGGATGCGGACATCGGCTGGAACAATGCTGAGAGAGATATTGTGCTGTCCAGACTCTTGCTGAGCGTAGCACATTAGCCACGTCTCGAGAAAAGCGTTTGTGTCCACAAGATGTCGGGGCCATGATTGGAAGTCTGTATGATGGTGACCGGCGAGCTGTCATTATGCGCGTCCTCGTTGTCGCAATACCGAGAACCATTCGAAGGATCACTCGTCGGTATTGCTGTATCCACCGATAGTGATCACAAAGCTGTTCGATATAGATTGTTGCAATGACTTGCACAACCTCATTTTAATGTGGCTGCCAGGCCACCCGTCGCAATATGATTTCCTTGATGTGGCCTTTGTCAGGCTTTCGTCGCGACCCAATCTTGGTGACGGAAGTGCGGCTGCTTCGTTCGAGCGCTCGACCAGTATCCTGACCTGCATCGTCTCAAATTTGACCAGATAGTGAAAGAGACACCGCGAAAGTTTCTGCGCGTGACGCTAAGTCGTGATATGAAAATATCGCGCCATAGTCGCACATTGCCCAACACCTCCCACCCATCCTCCACCGCACCGTTCGCGTCGAACACCGCCCACACTTCGTCTTCCCACGCTCAAGCCGCGACCTCTTTCGTCCAGTATCGACGCGATGTCGGAACAGCGCAACATCACTTCCGTGTATGGCCGCCGCGATAGCGATCCTGACCCGCGACGGAACGCGCCCGCGGAGACAACAAGGTGGACAGATGGTGGAGTTGAGTGTGAGTATAGGTCTACATCGTACTTTCGTGTGACCGACGTCGACATCATAAACAAGCGCGATACCCTTCAAGCATCCTGTGGTGGCTGCATGACGGTGCGCGACGACCTCGTATGCGCCAGGGTCACACGCCTTCTTTCTCTTGACCAGCTTAGCTGACATTGTATTCCTAGACGACCTTCCAACCCAACGCGAACTACAGTTGTTCAGCGTGCGAATAGAGATGAAGCCCGGTGTCTTGATGCCAATTGGCCCGGTGAAGGGTCTGAAGTGCCCGATAGCGAATTGCCTGCCGCCATCCGGACCGTACTACGACGAGTTCATTCTCGAAAGTACCTTCGGCGAAGCCATGTTCAACGTGTACGCCAACGGCGAGATCCGCGTGTGTATTATCTGCTGGGGGCCCAAGCATGAAGACAGCCACAAGAGGTGCAAGAGGAAGTGTCGAGTTTGCGGAACTTGTGACCATCCGGGGCAGACATGTGGTCAGATATATGCGAGGATGTCGTGGTGGAAGGCTCGCGGCCACAAGGTGGTCAAGACACAGCATATCCGCCCCGGTGTTGGCGAATTCGTCTACCTAGTCAAAGCCGGACTCGTGCACAACTTCCGAAAGTTTACGGACGTTGTCAACGTAAACGAAGACCATCCGCTCGTACGCGAGCTCTTCCGCACGACCTCGATGCCACTATATACACCAGGAAGGACTGTCTGGCCCAAGTCAGGGAAGGGTCAAAAGCAGTCAAGGCCAAGCGTTGAAGGGCTTTCAAATCCTGAGGGCATTGTTTCGCATGTGCCGGAAGATGTGCAGGAAGCGCAAAAGCCGGTATACAGCTCCAAGCCCAGCAACAGGGGCCCCAACCACAGCGTGGATTCCAGTCGTGATCCTAGGCTTATGACTCGACGCGTGGTAGATGAAGAGGATGGGGTACTTGGTGGTGAAATTGCACCGATTGTCGATCAGCCAGTGACACATAACTCTGGCGGTGGCGATATTGCAGCGAGCGCCTCTGAACAAGACACATCGCACCAGTCTGAGCGGAACCGCTTCCTGGAGGCAGAGAACAGGCGCCTAGTTGAAGAACTTCGGCAAGCTCGCATTGAGTTGGTTGCAAAAGACGCTCGCATTGCTGAGTTGACGGGTGACGGCGTTCCAACGGGCACAAAGCGTCCCAGGACCTGAGGCGATATGCTCCCGCTTTCGCAAGTAGGATAGCTGCAGATGGACTTTCGTAATGATACCTTTAGAGCAGAATTGAACATCTCCTGTACCACTACCAGAAATTGACGATACATGCACCGTGATTGAGGTGGACAAGCATAATACCTCTGCTCGAACTTCTACACTTTAGAACGACTATCTGCATATTACAGCAATCGACACAGCAAAGAAGGAACTGACTAGTAGGACTTGATGAAGATGCAAGACTGCTCGGCAGCGTCGATAGATGTCAAAAAGGTGTAATCGCACGCGCGTGAAGCCGGCGTGCAGACGTCTGCAATGGAAACGACGCCGGCAAAAAGAAGCAAAAAAGAAAGGGCAAAAAGAAGAAATCGTGCGCTGATAGATGCTCGCCCACGTGAGCGACCTCGTTAATGGTCACTCACCCGGCTACGAATCCGTTGGAGCAAGCTGGTAAAGCCCCGAGGGGCCAGTCCCAGAAGGGTGTACATGTCCTGTGTCACACGATGGGAAACTCTAGAAATGTAAGCAATATAATGTGGGTGTACCGCAGATTGCGGGGATTGTGGGCCTTTGGGAGTTTAGGCGACGATCGAAATCTGCGCGCAACTTGAGGCTGCCTGCGCACAATCCGTGATTGGGACAATCGAAACGGGCTACCGGCCACCTGCACATTCGTAGTTCATGTAATCATTCTCGTCGATGTAAAGTCTGGTGCTGCGACGGTATGGTGGAATGTCATTGACGTGCGTGGTTGTGATGGAGCGTGGCTGCTGCGATGCATTGCGATGTACGGCTGGACGAGCGTGTGGAAAGAGTGATGAAGACGCGTCGTCGGAAGATCGGGGATGGAAGTTTGCCGCTAGATTAGTCATCCCACCTCCACTTTCGCAATTCGCCGCACCGGCGCGCCTCACGACATCACGTCCCATGTCCATAAATGTCATCCAGAAGTCTACATCGCTTTAGAATGTTACAAACTCTCATTTTGATACTCATGTAGTCTCAAATGACTGGGCACATTTGCCTTCCTATACATACACGCACACCTTTCCACGATCATCGCCGACCCAGCCGCACACAGTAGCCTGCGAACAAGGCTACCCGCTAATGGTCTAGTATGCGCCACCAGTGTTAGCAGCTTGAGCGCGCAGTTGCTCGAGCTCCGCCCTCAGCTTCCGAATCTCACGATCCTTCACAACTGCCTGCATTCTCAAGTTCAGATTCTCGACCTCCTGGTCCTGAAGCTTCTTTTCGATGTCTTCTGGATCAGTCGGGGTTTCGCTGCTGTTGCTGGCGGTATCGGGCTGCGGAAGCGCCAGTTGGCCGGGCGCGCCATAGGAGGTGCGACCCTGGAGACGCGGGTCGAGGCTGTTGTCCACAGATCTTATCGGTATGGTGTATGGGCTCATCAGCGGCGGAAGCGGTTGCTGTGCAGGGGCATTTGCCACAAGCGTTGGCCCACTGCGCGATGGAATGGACGTCGAGCGATGCCTTGGGTCCGCCTCGAATATCTTCCGCATCAATGCCTTCGACCTTGGCTTGTCTTTGTAGAAGCCCTGAACGATCGGATGCTTTGGGTTTACAAGAATAGTGTTGTTTGGACCGCGTGCATTATACATGACACCGATACGAGAGAGGACAGCGAGCTCTTGTTTGTCGGGACGAATTTGTCGATCTCGAACGGTTTCTGGACCGCATGGAATCTCCTGCTGGCGATACCAGTCTCTGTTACAATAGAACAGGGAACAGCTCTAGCACCTATGTCAGCAGTGCTACTGCGCATTTGCGGTAGGTCTTACCTCGTCTGGGTGGCGGCGGGTTCCGCAGACCTTGCATACCTTCCCGCAAGACGTGGTCGAATAGCCTGCGACGGGGTGGCAGGTCCAACAGATCATACAAGGTTTGTATTTGAAGAATACCGGTCCAAAGACGGGAAGGAGAGCGTTCTGGTCGTAATATGGTCCCGCAGGTGGTAGGTATCGCTCGATTGGGTACGTAAGGCCAGCAGGAAGCGTCATCGACGAGGGCGGAGAAGGCGTAACAGCAATGTTGCCAGGAAGAGACGGGAGCGATTCCAAAAATCTGTCCGCAGCGTCGGAGCTCGGAAACTCGCTCTTGATGCCGACTGGCTGAACATTGGCACCAGTCGGTTTCCAGCGCGCAGTGGCCTCTGATTCGGGTTCAGGTGGTTCTGCTATGGGTCAATAGGGTTGAAAACAGTTTTTTGGGGTTCTTACCTTCGACTTCCATCATGCTGAGGCGCTCGGGCATGACAGACTGCCTTTGTCGTCCCTGCATGCCGTCGTCGTCGAGCGCGGAAACACCAGGACTAGGCGTGGGCGGAGGCGGCTTCGGGGCGTACAAGGCCTGCATCAAGTAGAGATTGGCCATCGTGATGTGTCGTGGTGGGTGATATCTGAGGGCATGGGTAAGTCGAGTGTTTGGCTGTTTGTTGACAACGACGCGTCTCAGCTTGGCGTGTTGCTCTCACCTACGTACCCAGATAGGTAGGCACGACTGTGACCTAGCAGCACGTGACTATGACATCAACTGGCGCGATCTTCTAGTCACCACGACTTCTGGCCTAGGTATGTGTCTAGTATGTATGAAACTAGAGAACAGAATCACTGGAAGCAGAAGATGTGCAGTACTGAACTGTATGCAGAATTATCTAGTATCGTAGAAGTGCTTTGGACTACGTCAACCATGAAAAGACTGAACAGGCCTGCAGCCTACATTAGCATGAGAGCATACAAAATAGGCGACCTGGCGTCGATGTAGGCTCCAGACTCATTGTCCTTGTTCCCAGGAATACCAAGTCATCAGCTCGTTCCCATTGCGCTGTCATACGCCACCTGGTACATCATCAAGTGTCGTGTCGCCCAATGCACGACCCATTTACCGACATCTAGTCCAAAGGCCATCCAAGCTGGGTCTTGAGCGTCCTGATCATCCTGTCCTTGTCCTTACTCTCGGCGATGTGTTGAAGCTCTCGCTCGTCGCGCTCGTGGAGCAGCTTCTCGTAGTATAGTTGTAGGTTTGCTATCGGAGACATAACGTGCTCTTGCGTGACGTGCGGTGCGGATCCGGATGCGGGGATGACAATGGTATTGGCAGGAGGAATGATCTGAAGCTGCATGTTGTTGTCTGGTGGAGCTTGTGGCTGGAGCCAGAGACCTGGGATCGCCATTGGCGGATGGGAAGAAGGCTCCTCGGTGACTTGGCGGATTGCTCTCGCGAGTTGGGGATCGATGAAGGGTAGATCGTGAACCTGGGAGTTTGTCATACGGTGGTCGGCAGCGGAGGAGACTTTGCTAGAAGCTGCTGCAGCTTGACCGGAGTTGAACTTGATAGAAGCAGCTGCGCTCTTCTTTCCGCTTTCGTTGATCCAGACTATGGGCGTAAGGACTCGAATGCGATGGCTGTGCTGTACCGTATGACCAGCATAGTACTCCTTGACATCAGAATTCTCCATGTTCGGCAAGACGTCCATAGAGACATGAGACATAGCCTGTACGATCCCAAGGCTCTGAAGATCTGCGACCTGGTTCATACCGGGACGGAGCGCGACCATCTCATTGGGCTGAGGCATACATCCGTGCTCTTTGCGCCACTTCAATGAGCAGTAAGCCATAGAGCATAGCTATGTTAAGTCAGTCACGAGATATTGATGGTGGCAAGTACATCTTACCCTCTTCGCGTGCTGGTCTTTACAGCCGCACAGACCACACGCGTTCGTGCACCCGGTGGGATCTCCGACGCATCTGCATCCAGGCTGTAGACAGTGACTACAAAGACCCTTCCTAGGTACGTCTGGGCCGAAGAGTTCAATGATGTCGAATTGATCGTAGTAGGCACCAGCGGGGGGTAGAAACTGGGTGGGCGGACGACCTCCGAGACCGTTGGGCGACATGACAGCGAGAACACTAGAAGATACCATTAGTACACGAACTTCATAACATGAGCACGGCGGGGAAACACAACGTACCAATCAGAGGATGTTGATTGAAGATGGACGACTTGGAGTACAACACGGGCCGGCAAGCTGGTCGTTACTACGCTGCGTGACTGCGCTCATGGCCCGTGCGTCAATACACGGTCACGTAGACTTGTTACTCCCACCTGACAGAAGCTCCACATCATCCACAATAAACCCAGCTTGATACCTCTGAATACATCTTGGCTAACCTGACGTGACCATCTACACTGACAAGCGCAGATATGTCCCGGCAACCCAACATGCGAGACCACCGGCCAGCACAACCCGGTCCGTACGGTCCCGACAACGCTCCACCGCCTCCGTCCGAGCCCCCACCGAGGGGACCCAGAGAACGCGAAGACCGTGGTAGATGTGTTGAGGATGTTGATGGCGAGAGGATGCAAGGTCGACGCCGTCCGCAGCTCGCCGTACGGAAACGAGATTACGCACGGGCCGAAGAAGAACTGCGAGTGAGACAGCTAGATCGAGATCGTAGTCGTTCGCCTGCCCGGCGTCAAGATCCGCGAGATGAGCAAGATTGGCGTAGTGAGCGAGCCCGGTATCGAGAGCGGTCACCGCTGCGTCGGGAGCCCGTGGACGTGGAGCCGCAGCGAGAGGATCGGAAGCCGGAGAAGGCGGAGTACCAGCGGTGCTTTGCTTGTAACAAGAAAGGTTGGTTGTATACTTGCAGATTCCCAACTCTTCCTTGCTAAGACTATTAAGGGCATAGGGTAGCTGATTGTCCAGCTGCCTTCACTGATAAGAAGGGTTGCTTTCGATGTGGAGAGCAGGGACACATTGCTCGTGCTTGCAAGGTCCGAGTTGGCCAGATCAAGACCGATGCTGAGGTGGCTGCGGATGAGGCGAAGGCTATGGCCGGCCGATACGGTGACCGCGACGACGATAGGCACTGGTCGCCCAGGCAGGATGCTGCCTTCCGAATCAGTCGCACGCGAGATACCAGCCGACTGGAAGCTCACATCCAGCAAGCGTACGGCCAAAGTCAAGATGCGCAGCAACATCATCAGGAGCACTCCAGTGAGGCGCATTCGCGTCCAGAGTACTTCGTCGAGGATGAAGTGGACTGGGACGACGACGCTTTAGAGACGGCCCACGTTGCTCCCGCGGTGAGAATGAGTACCGGTCGGAAGATGCCACAGCCTGAGTATCCGAGGCATGAGGAGCCGTACCGCCATTACGAAGGTCCAGAAGCGCACACTCCGACCGTCCAGCATGCGCCAATTCAGTCGGTGCACCGCAGATCCAGCCAAACGCCCAGTACAGCAAAGTCAGCCCAAGAGCCCAAGTTGGGCCTGCCGCACCTCCAAAACGCCAATACAGCAGAGTTTCCACCGACCGTGCACGACCTCCGCGGCTACGATTATCGTATCTTCACCATGTACGCGAGCAAGCCCAAGGCTCAGCGCTTTATCAACGGTGCCAACGGAAAGATCGCACCGGGCATGTACGGCTCCGAGCAGCGCCACGACCTGGGGCTTTGCTTCACCACATACCTTACGAAGAAACGCTGTGAGATGGGTGTCAAGTGTCCCTGGCGCCATCATCCGCTTTCGAACGCTGAGAAGGCTTGGATCATCAAGTATGGCAAACAGAAGGGAGAGGAGTTCATTGAAAACGTGGATCGGTGGTGGAACTTCCCCGAGGTAAGTCGTTGTATATTGTGCTTTTCTTGGGCTTCGCTGACTGTCAAAAGACACCGGTGCCGGGTACTTCTATGGAGGGCCTGGGTGACGACAAGAACTAGGTAGCTTTGCTCATTTGGAGTTGTCAGATACCGGGAGCTTGGCTTGTACGGGCCGATGGTTGATGTTGGACGACAGTGAGGTCAGTCAATTTCGGCGCGCTGGCATTGGCGGGAAGAGGCTATGTGAGAGCCCCACCTCGTGTATGATACCAGCCTCGTATGTCATCGATGCCTTGAAGACCAATGAGCATCATGTTAGCAAACGTATCAAGGTCATCCGGCTGCGCACCCCTCAAGACATCCGTGAAGTCAAGTTCCTTGATGACAAAGTGATTCTTGCTATTCCATGCCATAGCAAAGTCGAATGCGCTCGTTGCCTTCCACAAGTGCGCAGAAAGCGTGACGCGGTTCTTCAAAGAAAGCTCTTTCGCGCAAGACCTCATCTGACCGCTCAGCAGGGTGTATATGACGGTTATGTGGAAAGCTACCAAGGCCGTGCGTCTGGCTGACTCGCGGAAGATGTACGACTGCCAGGCTGAGCGAGCGGCTGTACTGGGATAAAGTGGAAGTGTAGCTGGAAGCTCGGGATCCTCTGCTGCAATGGGTAGAAGGACAACACCCACATCTTCCAGATGCGGTATCAGGGCGTCGGCTCGGGCGTAAAGTCGCATGTCGCCGCCAAAGATGAGCATGATCTCATACAACATCAGGGCCTGTGTACGAGCTAGAATCTCGATCGGGGTAGTTGGTATAGCAGTGGATATGAGCTCTTTTGCGCGACTTGTAATGAATCGTGCGACATGCTCAGCATTGTTGTCGTTCATGGTAACATAAAGGGCACATGCCGCGTGTACATCTTGTAAGGATCGTGGCATATGGTCTTCGTATAGCAAAGAGTGAGCCCATGGTGTGCAACATTGCTCTACCATCATCTTTGGCGCGAGTTTGACGAGCTCGATCGAGTACTCCACTCTGGACTTTGCGAAGGGCGACAGGTGTCTCGCTGAGAAGGGCTGGCTCACTGGGGCATAAGACTTTCGTAAAGTCATTTGATCTTCCTGGTGAGCTGGTGTGTTGAGCATGTCCGTGAGCGCGTCCAGAGAGTCTGTTGCGGTGCAGAAGTCGAAATCTAAGATGTCTGCGGTGGGGTTGGCTGGCATGTCAGGTAGGTCGAAGTCGAAAGCAAGACCGCCATCATCAATCTCTGGCATCTCCATTGGCGCATTGGATGAGTCCAAGTCAGTAGGTGTTGCAGATGTGTCGTTCTGCGGTATCGCGGGCTGCGACCGAGGCTGTAGAGGGTAGACGCATGATAAGTGCTGCCTGGCGCATCGTGCGCAATGAGGCTGCTCGAGACCGCATTTGCGTTTTGCCTTTGCGCACTCTGAGCATGACTTCTGCCTACCTTGTGAGTTGGTGGTGCGTGAACGATCTGGTGGCATGATGGACGCGCCTGTTGCTGGCGAGGAAGGGGGTGAGGCTTGCCGCGCCGCCGCCGATCTTGGCCTGCATCATCGTTAGTCAGCGCTAGTGGGTCGCTCCATGTCAGCTCGGACGACTCCTGAACTCCTCACAATCGCCATCACATACTGGGCGAACCTTTCAGCACATCTTTCTCGTGACTCTGTGCCGCTCAGGCTTCGTTTCCATCGTTTCGCGCTCATGGAAAGACCGCACCAGCGATTCCGTTCACGAACGGGGTACAGACTCGCGATTGTGTACGCGCAAGCATCAGGGATGAAGAGTTACTATGTTCTCGGAAAGCGTAAACTGCGTTGACCTGGACATCGGGATGTGTATACAGGTCAGAAAGCGGGTTAACGTGTCCTTTTGCGAGCTTCGACCGTAGTTGTTGCAGCACCAGGTATCTCCTACGTAACGAGGCTTTTGAGAACCTAATCGTTTCCAGCATTGACGCAGAATTATCCTTGACCAGGCTATTATCGAATCTCATGTTCTAGTTTACGCTTTCTACTCCACAGTCACTGGATACATGTTTTCGGTCTTTCACGCCCTCAGCCCTGCTTCTCTATCAAACGCTTGTTCACCACGACATCCTGCAACCTCTGGTGTCTGGCAAATGCAAAATGCCACGAAGAGTGGTTCAAGACCTTGCGAAGTCATTCGTTCACCTCTTCAGTCCCCTCTCCATGTCCACGGTACCAGCTCTTAAACCTATATACCACGTAGGCTGCGGCCACCATGCCCCAGAAGACGGCATCGGACGCGGCTTGCTTCGCGATCTCGGATGCAGACTTTGGTGTAGGTTTATTTCGTGGTACCAGAGCGCGTTCATGGCGACTCTCCCGATGTTTTTGCACAGCCGCAAACAAGATTACCGACACAGTCGACATGGCCCAGACACCTCCGAATATGATTACTGCGCCGTATCCGCCCATCATCGCACTGGTGCACGTCGCGAAAACCGAGCCCGCGACAACGCTGCCAATACCCGCATGCATCGCCGCGGCTGCGCTCCCTAGAAGACGTCAGTATTCAATGTCCACGATATATCCTCCGAGATGACGTACCTGCGACGATTCCAGCTGGGCCAAAGCCCGTGGCCGAGAGCGCTATCGCTGTGATTGCAAGCGCAACGAGAGGCACCACGATCAACGCCGTCTTCCATGGATTCATCCTCATCCAATGGACGATTGCCTTTGCTGTGCCAATAAATCCAAGCTCCTTCATCTTCTTGACAGCATCGAGTGCAGCGTCTCTAGCTTGTGCGGCCAGGATGGTGACCTTGTCGGCGGCGCATTTCCAGAGGTGGTTGATGCTGGCAGTCCACGTCGCCCGGAGGTCGCGGTCTTCGGAGGGAGTTCGTAGCGTATCGGCGTCGTCTCCAGCATCTTCCGCGGCTGGCACAGGCTCGTCATCCTCGTCATCCTCGTCTTCGGAATCTTCGTGCGCTTGTGTCGTCGCGTCTTCCTCTTCATCTTCGTTGGATGCCTCGTACTCAGTCTCTGGCTGATATTGCGGGACAGGTCTCGCTCCTGCAGCGATTCGTGTAGCTAGCAGCGTCGCGAACAACATTCTCTTCAAGGAAAATTCCGCCATGTCGTATATGTGGCCAATGGTAATTGACTTGAGGAGATGTGTAGTGATAGGTCGCCAGTACTGTCTTTTTTACGACGGCGCGGCGGTGATAGCTCATGTCATCCCACCGTGAGTCCAAATTGGGAAGCAGCGAACAAGTTTTCACCTCACTCCTCGTGTCAACGGAGCGAAACAAGTCGGTGAGCCACAGCCTACATGCCGTCATCGCATATATTTGGGACAGGAACGATCTATGGAAGGCCATCTGGCATATGCACGTCGATAACATAACTCATAGGTACTTCGCGGATTCCAACCACAGTACACCAACTTTGAGCACAGTCCATCCCCTTACTGATCCATAGTCAGACGGCCTGTCTCTTCGGCGATAAGCTTGTCGACCTCATCCTGGATGAAAGCACGATGTATCGCTCTGGCCTCCTCCAACTCGCGCATCAACCTTTCTCGCTCCCACAAAGTCCAAGCCGCCAGATCGGAGCACGTCTTTTCCGCCTTCGCACGAGCCTCCTTCACCAACTTCGGCTCCTGCCTCAATCTCGCATTTTGCTCCAAAACAAGCTCAAACGCCTCCTTGGTGATGCGTTCGCAACCAGGTGCGGGAGTTGAAGAATCTGGTTGGAACATGGAGGGTGTAGCGGGGCATTGTGGAACGGGGAAAGACTCGACTGTTAAGTATGGATCGTTGCTGGCGCTGCTGATCGAATTCAACCAGTCGTTCACCTGATTCACGCCATCCTCGTGATATACGGGACGAAATGCGAGACTGATGGTGCGCTGGGGATCCTGGAGGCTCTCATGACCAGAGAAGGTGGGTTGGATGTGTTGCTGCTATGTTTTGGTCAGTGTTGTTGTTGTTGTGGTACGACGAGGTGTCGGTGCAAGACTTACATGGACAGCAGTTTCTTCCCCATCGTCCTCCATCCTATCGGTATCAACACGATCTGGCTCCATGCCTACGCATTGGTGTCCTCCAAGATGGTTGCGGTGTTCCTAGGGGCTTGAATATCGCGACTACGTCAGGAAAGGCGCGGTGAAGGCGGAGACGCGTCGGTGACTGAGGACTACACTCACGTGCCTGCTGAGTGAGCGCCTGCGCTAGCGTCTACTAGCGCATCCCTCTGTATATTCCAGCCCCGCGTCCCTCTCCCACCTTTCCTCTCGCTACCTGTGTTGACTTGATTTGACTCTACGCGCAAAGCATCAGCTTACCGCACGAGCGGACGAGGGCTGCACGGCCACGGTTCAAGGCAGATTCGAAACCAAGCCCTTAACGATCGGGAACCTAGACGTCGCAAGCCTCCACCCGGTGAGCTGTGACTATAGGTATCTCCTCTGCAAGTGCGAGGGCATCCCGCCACGAACCAAGAAAGCAGGCCTTTGCACGCAGCGTAATAGTGAGGGTCTTTTGTTATGTTGTGACGTCAGGCTCATTACATTATGGTTTTTGTATCACGTATAAGCTATGCTTTAATACCGCTAGAGCCAACTGGTGTGGATATGTACTGCGAAGCGCTGGAAGGGGTGACACGACCGACCTTTTCGCATCAGGCAGGTACATGCATTGCAGGACCTAAGCTTCACCCAAGCTATGGCTAGAAACATACTAGAGAGTTAGAGAGACACTGAACCTCATTCTGCAATCTACACTGGCATTTCAGTCGTTTTCTGCTTTCTTAACAAACGAACGGGAGTCTACGTTGTATACAGTCTTTAATTATTAGTAATCGTTGCTTACCGCAGCACCTTCTCGGTCACTGGTCACGCCTTTGATAATAGCTGGTAATCATTATGAGGGAATCTGCAGAGTAGATAGCGTTGTCTTTAGGAATTACTCCATGTTAAGTCGGATTCTAGTGTGATGTATATCGAATGGGGTATACATCGAAACAGTTGCGATGGAAGGAGTGTAGAGTGAAAGTCAACACAAGGAGTTTAGCGGGTATTAAGCACAAACTCAGATTCTAGATCATACTAAGGGTATCTGTAAGTCTGTGTGGACGCCAGGAGGAGGATGTGAGAGCGTTATGGATACAGATTTTTATGGATCATGTTGGCATTAATTGTGGTAATATCCACATGACACCACGCACTGTCTGTCGATGATGAACTTTGTTGAAATATTATTTCACCTCTCAATCACGGGATTGTACACCTCAAACAAATCACCATCCCAATCCCAACGCAAGTATCGTAAAGTATCAAAACTGGCGAGGAGATGGCGGATGTGCTCAGCACCGACCTATATCTGGGTGCGTTCTGGCGATTGGCGCATGGTCAAGAAGTGATACCCTAGATATCGAGACGCTACACAGCACTGAACAGTTGATCCTTGGTGACAAGTTCGTAGACATAGAAATAATATGATTGCATTACTCAACGGAAGGGGATATCTGAAAAGCATTTCGCAAAAATTCGTAAATCGTGACAAGAGGTAGACAAACAGCCGCCCTGCATTACGGACACCAAACTCTCAAAAACATTACTGTGCGTGTACGTCCAAGAAACACCAAAGTGTGACATATTCATCAATTACCGTGGCCCATAAACTGGGTAGGGCGGGTTGGCATACTGCTGTTGCCCGGGCGCCCGCGCATAGTCCTGCGGATTATACGCATACGCCTGTTGGCCCTGTTGGCCCTGCTGGCCACTTGGCCGCCTCTGATGGCTGTTGTGCTCCTCCTTTGTCTCTTCCATCGTTGGCAGCTCGGCCGCGAATGCCTTTTGTTCTAGCCCTGGCGATTTCATGCCCTCTGATGGCGCATACGAGCTAGGGCGTGAACTCGCGGTGCTATGCGATGCTGTCGACCAGCGCGCATCTTGCGGGTTTGGCGAGTATTGTGATGGCTCGGAAGCAGACGACGCGCGGTTATCGTGAGGGGAGAGGTGGGACGGGGACGGGGACGGCTGAGGATGGTAGAAGTCGCCTGGCAACTCCATAACAACGTCGTTCGTGCCTAGGAGCTGCTTTGGTGGGACAGGAGGGCCGGGCTGCTGTGCGGGCTGCGCCCATTGTTGGCTTTGCCGGTGCGGGGACATGGGCATCTGGTAGGGTTGGGTCGGCGATGGCTGCGGTGGTGTGTGGCCATACGTTGAGCGATCAGCGGGGTTGACTGTCTTCATGCGCCCATTCTCCATCATCGCCTGGATTGCGCCCGAGTCGAGCAGCTCCGCCTTCTTGACCAATCGCTCGATCATGATCGTGCAAGCTGCCTTCATTTCCTTCTTGACAAAGTTCATCATGGCGACGTTGCATTTGATCTCTACATCCTGGCGAATGTAGAGTCCCTCGGGTGGCGCAGCGGAGCCCAGCTCTTTCGGCTCAGGTGGCTCGCCAATCTGGTTGCCGCCAATATGCCACTTCTGGCGCAGGTCGACGTTCGCAGGCGCGTAGGTGTGTGTCTGAAGCCCGAACGGCAGGTCGTGGAAGACACCGCGGAACTTGATTGCGCCGCTCCCCATCTTGCCAATGCCGGGTATGTACTGTATGCGCTGCGATATTTCGTACCATGTTGAGTAGTATTCGTCTGCGGGAGCGTCGCGCGGTGCTTTGATGGGCTCGTGGCCGGTGACAAGGGGGTTCAGCTCGATGATCTCGCCGTGGCTGTGGAGGAAGTCGATTGCGAGCTGGCGCGGTATGAAAGACGGTATTGGTGTGATTTGCACATACTGCGTCTTCTTGCGCATCATATTCATGGCGGGCGATCAGTGTCGAGTAGGGCCGATGTAAGTGTGAGGTTTCTGCGTCAATTGCTCGAGGATGCGATTTGAGAGAAGAGGCTGCGCCACGACGGCAAAGGTGGGTAGTAATAAGGACGTTGCTGACGGTACCCCTGCTTGTGTAAGTAGGTTTGCAGGCGCTGAGCCGTGGCCGGGTCGTCAGCCCAAGATCGCCATGACGAAACGCGTCATGCACGTGCATGTGATGTCAGAAACACCCAAGATGCACGAGTAATCTTCTTTTTCTGCTACCCTGCCGCTGTTGATGCGATCAATGACTTGCGCGGTTTGCTTGACAATGCGGTCTGCTTTCGATCGCTTTCATCATTGCGGCCCTGTAGGGCGGTTGGCGCCCGCTGTGGATCAGCCTAATTATAGGCTTGCAGCTTGGTCGCCGGCAACTGTCAGCTCCATGCAGGTGCTGGCGGGGGTGGAATATCAGAACTTCATCAGCTTCTCACCGTCGCAAGTCGCACATGGCTTCGAATCACCAAGCCAGAGCTCGACACATGCCGCGACGCCAGTGCTGGTGTCCTTGGTGCCTTTCTTTGCTTTTGCCTAACGCCGGAATCGTGGCCATCCGAAGGCGTAGCGTGACTGCGCCAAGTTGTGCTCCTGGGCGGACGCGACGACTGGCATTCAAGTGGCTGAGCCTAGGACAAATGATCCTATTGTCGTTCCTCTAGTTCGATGCCACGTTCGCGGCGGCGATGGACCCTTCGAAGTTGCGATGGCTTAGATTGAGATCCTCGACGTGACGGCATAATCATGTTTCGGAAACAACAAGACCTGAGGCATCAAATCTCCTCGACCCCGCGGAGCCCCTGGATGCCGGCAAGTATGGGGAGTGTAGCCAAGGGTTCAACAGTCGCGGGTTGTCGTTCTCGTGAAAGCGCAGGTGCTCGCATTGATAAAGAGTCAAGAGTGTACTTCCTTTTGACGATCGTGGTAGCCTGTTCGGTCGTACTTGTAGCAGCTAAGAAAAGATTCCTTATTGACATGCGACCGAAGGTCGATGAAAGCAGGACGGTGCATGAATGCGACTGGTACCATTCTGCCAGTAAACCAAGGGAGCGTGTTCTAGTGCCATTCGAGACGTTCTGAGGTGTCCACTCGAACGATCTGGCTACAAAAAAGAAGATGGAAACAATGCGAGTGGGTGAGAACGAAGAAGGTGAGCGTGGGAGATGAAACATCTCGGAGCGAGTTGCAGAGTTTTGTTCCTGCCTTTGTCGAGACCCTGATGACCCTGACGCTTGTTTGGCTCGAAGGCAGGAGCTACCGCAACCTCGACCGTGGTTCATGCCATGCGCCTCAAGCACGACAACACAACAACACAACCTTGGAACGCTTCATCGAAGCCATGCTCGCCTATGCGCAAAGACGGTCACGCTGCACTTATCTCACCGGACACGGCTCTCTGTGGACGAGACGCAGCAGTCGCACCAGCTTTCGCCCAGGGATTGGTATCACGTGGCTCATAATTCGTCTACAACCCATCGTGAACCATAGAATGGCTACCCAACTCCAATATAACGGGTACACCCACACGACGTCTGTATGAGTCAAAGGCGAGTATAAATTCCACCATCCACGCACCTTCACAATTCAACCACACACACATACACACACACACACACACACACACACACACAAACATGAACACAACACGCCCCAACCCCCGAGGCCCCTTCCGCGAAATAGGCCGAGGATGCTGCGGCAGCATCTGGATCCGCGGAGTCGACCCCTGGGTCATCAAACGCGAACACATGCATACAAACCGCTCCGTCTTGAACGACCACAACATGCATCGACGAGTCATCGCAGCTGACACCACAAATACGCTTCCTGTGCGCATACCGCGGTCTTACGAGGTCTTAGAGGCTGATAGCTTCTGGTGGGATAACAATTTCACTTGTTTTCCTGCGGGTGAAGAGGTGAGTAGGAGCTACACGCATGAGAGGATACCTGCTGTAGGACTGCCTATTCGCGAGATGCTTATCGACAGATATTGTCGCGAGACGCTGAAGGAGGCTACGAGGACGAGCAAGAAGAATGAAGATTGCCTTATTCGAGTGTACACAGGCAAACGGAGACCAGAAGGACGCCAGCCTGGAATGTTTTTCAACCTGCGCAACTATGGTCTTTGCGTCGATCAAATGGAAGAGCTAGGTTTGGATCCGCTTGTCATTGCGAAGACACTGGCTGAGGCGCTCGCACATTGCTATTGGAAAGCTGAAGTCGATGCGAACGATGTTGAGTTTGTGCTCGCGCCAGCTACCCCCCAAGAAGAGTACAGACGAAACTCGTCAATACCTATCTTCACACTTCTAGATCAAGAGCTCGTCATTTGGATGTTGGACTACGACTGCGTACGTCATATGAGTCAAGACGCAAACGGCATCGCGCAAGCAGTTCACGCATTCTGGCGCAACGACCCGTACTTCCCTCGACCTTTTGCCTACGGCCATACACATGCTGATACCGAATTATGGCAAACGTTCAAGGCCCACTTCCTCGACTTTAGCAGGCGCATGTTGACACACAAAGAGGGAAGCGTAGATGAGGACATATTGGACCTCCCGCAGCAATGGGTGACGCAAGTAGAAGCCGAAGGAAGCAGGCGTGAAGCAAGGCAAGAAGAGCGACGTGAGTGAAGGGGAATGGGGCGAGTTGCGTGAGCAGTATTCACGGAAACAGTATCTCATGGATATTATACGAGGTATCATGCAACGCACAATAAGGGACAGGATCTATTGCGCGCTTTCATGTCATCATTCGCCATCTATAGACCATACACATCTCCTCTCAATCACAAAAACATCACCTTAAACAACAACAACATCCAACACCCCCTTCCCACCCCCCTCCCTCACCCTCCTAACCTCAACCCACCCACCCTTCTCCAATCTTACAATCTTCCCATCAACACATATCCTCCTCCACCTCCCCCCGTCCTCCTCCTTGCCCTCAAACTCAATCCTCAACCCATCAATACACGCATACCTCACATCCCCATCACCAACATGCTTACCCCCATCATACGCTTTATTCATAATACCCATGACCTCATCGCCACTCCTTGGGGTAAAATGCACAAGGTGCATGCTCCCGTCTAGCGGTTTAGTAGCAGGGGAGATGCAGAATGGTTTTTCGAGATGCGAGACCATGGTTGCGAGGATGTACATGTGTTCTTCTTCTGGTAGGGTGGTCCAACGATCTTTTTCTTGGAGGATAGAGACTTTGCCTTTGTACGGATGTGGTGGTGAGCCATCAGCGGGGTACAAAGCTTCTTTCGCAGCCATCTTGAAGCGCTCGACGCCGTGCTTACGGTACTCGGTTGTGTCACTGTCGCCGACGAGGGAGGCGTGCATGCCCCAGGATGCTACGACGGCGCCGTGGAGAATGCCGTTGCCCTGGGCGTCTTTCGGTAGTTCCTGCTCTTGTCGGCCTTCGTCGATGAGGAGGCGGGCGCCGGGGGAGAAGGTCGCTGTGAATGTGGGAAGGGGCTTTGTTTTCCATGATGTCAGGGCGGGGAGACCCCATGCGTCGTATCCTCCGGCGTTGATGGAGTGGTAGAGCGCGTTTGCTGTGCCGAGAGGCAGAATGACGACTTGTGGGGGGATGTAGATTTGTGGGTTTGGTGTCTTGGATGAGAGGCCGTTTACGAGGTCTACGATGCCGCCGTCGCCTGAGAGGAGGATGATGCGGATGGGTCTTCCTTCATTGGCGGCTGGAAACAGGACGGCGTCGGTGAGTTCCAAGATGCTGGTTGGCGATTCCGTGGTGTGCACTTTCAACTCTTCGACGCCTTTGTTTCCATATATGCTTTCGAGGATCGGGCGAACAGCGCTGGAGAAGAACTCATCTGCGAGTCCATGACCGGAGCCACTCGAGATGATAACATGGGTCTCGCGCTTTTCTGGTGGGGAGAATGGCGGCTGTTGATCGCGAGGTCTTGTTGACACATTAATCAAGAGAGGTGGCCTCGTGGGATCTTTGTGCTCTTGTAATGTAACAACAGCCTCTGACTCGCCACCGACGCTTTGAGTCGTGAACACGATCTTGCGATGCTGATCGTCCCCGCCAGATCTGTTCATGATGGCAGCCTAGTGTAAACAATGACTCGGCCGGACTTTTACTGTAGTGCGATCGCAAATGAGTAAGATGATGATCAGTTCACAGACGGCCAGAAGTCGAACCGAGCGATGAACGTCCGGTTCCTGCCACATGCAATGTCACCCACCTCATCGCGTGGAGATAGGCGTGATAGGCTGGCTGCCCAATCGCGCAATCCCACCTGCCCCATTTTTCGTTGCGGTAGGCGCTAGTCCGCGTGCGTCATGTTCAATAACGGCCTCGTCGTGAGACGAAAAGCACGCATCAATCTGAAACTTTTCAGTCGGAACAGATTTTAATAATAGGGGTTCGACACTACTTCCTGTCATTGTTAACATCGCAAGGGATTTCTCCGTCTAATTACCAGTTGTTAGATTCGGGCAGCGGCGTCAGCAAGGGTTACGTCATCACTTGGCGATACTACGCAGCCGCCTGGGCTGGAGGAACTCAGCCGCGCCTGCCAGCTACACCAACAAATTGACATTGCGGCGCAGCCAGCCGACGTCGCATTCCACGCCTGTCGGGACACCATCAGGTCCTTCACCTCCTGCCTACGGAGACACGACCGTCCGCATCAGCGACAGCAAACCCATCGGATCCGCGCAATCGCGCCCACCACACGCAAACCGCACATGCGACCCTAAGCCCTCCCCACAACAACCCACACGACCACCGCCACCATGAACGGCTGGCTCGTCTTCATCATCATCCTGCTGCTCCTGCTCTCCTTCTCCTACTTCGGCTGGTACTTCTACGCCCGATGGAACGCCTCCCGCAATGGCCTCCCTCCACCCTCCATGAACCCAATGGTAGCCTTCAGCCGCTCCTCTGACGCCGGCGCAACCTCAAACTACCCGGGTCCCGCCCCCACCGGCATCAAGGGCTGGTTCGACACCCAAGTGCGCAAGTTCAAAAACAGAAATAACCGGTACACAACGGGTAGCGGCTACGAAGACGCCGGCTACAGCGGCGGGCGCGGCGTCGGCGGGGGCCGCGGCGCGGGAAGTCGTCTTGATCCCGATGAGGCGTGGAGTTCGCGCGTGGGCGACGAGGCATACTATGAAGAGCAGGAACTTGGGCTTCATGAACCGGCGTCTACCCATGGCGGGCAGACTGCGAATCCTTATGCCAACCCCACGCCGTATAACAATGTCGAGCCAAGTCGTGGTCGCAGCCGCACACGCGATTCCTACGACGAACATCTCGATGCGCAGAGTGGGAGGAATCCGTTCGGCGACGATAATGCGGCGAGTCTGCGGGGCGTGAGTCCCAGGCCGGTGCTCGATGCGGATACGAGTTATCGGGGTGGTGCTACGGCTACCATGCCGAGCGTGAGCAAGCACAGGAAGGCGGGTAGTGTGGATAGTGTGGAGAACAGCCCGACGGAGAGTCGGAGGAGTGTGTTCAGGGAGGGGTTGTAAGGTGATGAAGAGTTTGGACGAGGATTTTCTGATACTATACCTATGTTGGGATTGGACTGGTGTTTTTTGAACTGGTGGGGTCTTACCCGACGGATTGGACCTGAATGATATTTTGTTGTATTTCCGCCATCAGCCAGCATGTTGTGATGTCGGATTGACTAACAGCACATAGGAGGCAAGCATCTTGACCAAAGATCGACAGCAAAGACTAGACCAATATTACCTCCCTACGTTATTTAACATGGGCAACTGTCCATCTCGCCCTGCAAAAAACAAGACCCCATCCAAACTCCTATCCCTTTCGCGCGAAATACGAGACAGCATATACAACGAGACTCCTCGCCACCTCACCCCCAGCCCTCCCTGAGGCCCAAGCAGCACGACCAGACTCATCCGATGGTCTTTCCTCAACATGCCGAACATACAAAGTTTCCGCCTCGCACTCTGCAAGTTCAGCGAAATAGAACATGCACGACAGAGTCATCAAGATCCCCAACGGAGGTCGAAGTACACAATTGCTGAGCCTGAGCCAGCTCCTCGATCCTTGTTTTTTCATGGAATTGTCTACGGTACCGCTGGTGGAGGAGCCACAGGTGGAGGAGCCCCTGGTGGAGGAGTCGCTGGCGGAGGAGTCGCTGGCATCGGTTGAGCACCTTCTTCACGCTCTTGCTCCAACTCCTCCAGGGCTGCATTATCGAGTGCAGCCGCGGTAGCTTCCTCTGCTCCTCTTTCCGCTATGATTGTCAGCATACGATATCGCTGGTAGAGGAATGAGATTGGTCTACATTTGCTTCTCCAAGGTAGCCTTGTCTTGAGAAAACCAAAGTACGACGATGTTGTCGAATGAGAATCATGAGTTTCGATGATTCCGTAACCATGTTTTATCAACCAAGGCTCTCCGATTATGAGATCGAAATTATTGGCGTTCGGAGCTACCAAAAAGTCTGCAGTATATGACTTCTCCTGGTTGTTCAGTACCCAGCTTAGCGAGATCTTCTTGTTGAAGGTGAACGTAGTGCCGAACACCTCCAGGGTAGCCGGAACTTCGGCCCTGGCCACGAAGGGCTCCAGTCCAGCTCTTTCGATTACGTCCTCGGAGACAAAGTCGGTATTCGATCCATTATCGAACTTACCTCTAACAGGAAACCATATCCCCATTCGGCTTCGTCCACACTCGCAGGGAATCCCAGAAGCATTCCTCTGCGACTGTGGTACCGAAGAGACGTCCTTGTCCACGATGATACTTATCGTGGCATTGAAGAGACTTGATCTCTCCGCTGGGCTACCTAAGATCGCGTCCGTGGTCATGTCGGTGCCTCTTGACGTCACCTCAATCGCGAGAGCACTGATATGTTAGCGGAATTTAGTCTCTTTCTACAGCGGTACTAACTTGGTAAAGTCTGTGACTGCGCTTTTCAGTGCCTTGAGTGTTTCTCTTAGTTTCGGTGCCTTCATGATGAGGAGAAGTTTCTTGTGACTGTCTGGTCGATGTCTTGTCTGATCCATTTGCTTTACTAATTTTGCGATCGCTTCGTGACATCGCGTAAGAGCTGGGATGACGTATGTGGGCGGATAGAGAAGCTGGTCCATGATCGTCTTCGACTGAATCAACATAACCAGAACAGCCGAAAGCTCTTCAGACATTCCCTTCGGGTAGGCGTCTTTGAGGTACGCATTGTCTGATGTGTCAGATAAGCGTTTGATAATTTTGTTCAGGTTTTCGATCAGCCCTAGGGTGCCTATCGTGACAGTTATAGAATCCATGTATATGTTCAAGCTTATGCGGGTGGACAACACTTCCAAATTTTACAAATGAAGAGGAGTTTAAAGGCTTATCAACAGCAACCTACGCTGACGCGGGGGAGATTACACGAATGTGATGCATGCCTGAAGCTGCATGCAAGGAAGCCATTGGGCACAGATTCTTGAGCTGTGTTGTCGAAACGCATGCCAAGCAAAGCGCTCAGTGGCTACAGAGTCAAAGCTGAGATTGAAACACGAAGCTGAAAATCTTGGCTGCCGCCACCACATGCAGCTCCAATGCAACACTGCCTAGGTAGAGCAAATGAGCGCGAAGCCGACCAAAGTCCGATGCTGACCATCAGTCTTAAACGCCTATATCGTTAATCATCTTCAAAAGCGGGGTTAATTCTCCTTTACAATTCCTCACAGCACAAAAGAGCATTTGCGTTAACTAAAGGCCTAGTTCTCGCCTTGTGTCTCTATGAGATTGCCTTCGTTCCTCCTTCCTGCTGACAAGTCGATCCGTCCACACAATGGCAAATCCTGCAGTTGTTGTGCCCCGCCTTAAGGGTTATCCCAAGCTAGCGATCTTGATAGGGGAGAACCCAGATGTCGCCATATTTCGGCGTTTTGGAACCATGAGCGCGCTGAATTTGATGCGTCTACAAGCTGAGCTGATCGATATTGAAGAGAAGCTGCGAGCTCAACAACTGAAAGACGATAAAGCTGGCCTACCAAATGGGGAGTATTCTACATATTTTCTGAAATTGAACCTGGAAAAAGCGACCAAGGAAGGCGAGCAGGGTCACCCAAACCAGATGGCGTTGCTGGAATTGGCACAAACAAAATTGATATTATATCGTCTGTAGCCCATCAACTTCTTGTTCTTCTCAAAACCTAATGATGTGGCATAGACGATCTACTTCTCACAACGGCAAAGATTACGCAGTTACGAAAGCCTAGCGACAGCAGAACTAGGTTTCTGCGGAGATGGCTGGGCATGGAAACAGGTGGAGCGCACTTCCAGAGAGGCAAAGAGCGTTTGCGAACATGGCACGAAGACGTCAAGCGCGACTTAGTGGTCTTGACGCGTGAGGACCTTGAAGAGGACAATCCGATATCAGCATGGTTTACACCAAAGCTTGTCAGCGCATATCACTACGTCTTCCAATCAGTACGTGTCCCAAGCCTACAGGCAGTGTTGAAACTGACAATTTGCAGCTACGTTCGCCGGTCATCACCGAAGCCGGAGACCTGTACGATTACGAGGACTCGAAAGCTGTCAAGACCGTAACGTGGTTGATCGCCCTTCTAGCAACTATCGCCGTCTCGCTGCTTCCGAGTCTCATCATGTTCTGGCTGTTTCATGTGAAGAGAACGATCACTAGGATCTGGGTCACGATAGGGTCTACCGTTTGCATCGGGGTTCTTCTTAGAATCTTCACCACCGCAACGATGAAGGAGATTTTCGGTGGCACAGCGGCGTATGTCTTCCCCCACATCTGTTGAGTGTCTTGAGCCTTACATTCGGGACAGATTTGCGGCTGTCGAGGTTGTCTTCATAGGCAGTGCCAACGGCACCTATGCTGGATCGTGATCAATGTTACTGCTCACACACGTTGGATTCGCAGTTCCAGGTTGTAGTGTAGTATGTCTCCAATCAGATCCAAGCGTAGATGGTCAAAGGGCTTTGACGACTGTTGCGCTATCTTCTAAGCCAGGCGTTGGCGTTCGATGCGAACAAGGAAATGGATTGTATTTCTGGAAACCGTTATGTGCTTGTGCATACTCTACAACGCATTCAATTCGCTCCTTGTACGACCTACGAAGACCTAGGGTGCGTCTCATCAAATGACGCATCTTCCCCCACCACTACTCGATACACCACTCGCGCATACTTGTCCGCCTGTTGCGATTTCTCGGACAGCCCCAACTGCTCAAACGCTGATCGCGCATGCAGAAAGACGTCTACTAGACGATCTTCCACGTGACCCCATCCTATGATCATCAAAGGCGAAGACTTGCGGTCAAGCCCGGTGAAAGTGAAGCCCAGAGCCTGGAGGAATTTGCCCATGGTCTCCAATGCTTTGCCGTAAATGGAGCGTTTCATGTAAATCCGTGTCAGCAGGAGGTACGGACTCCACAGCAGGAGCCTAGGCACTGCCTCCGCCGGACGGGTGTACGTCTCGTTCAGCGCCTCGGCCAAGCGTTCGATCTTGTTCGTAAACTGGATTCCTGCCGCCGGAGATTTGCAGAGTTTGACTACTTGGTTCAGCAAGTTCTGCCTCTTCGTGAGGTCCGAAGCTTTGGTGGCTTTGATATCTTCGCAGAGCGGGCAGTTGCAAATGAAGCCCCACGTCTTCAGCTCGTCGTCCATGTTCTCATCGTATTTCCCGTTCGGATAAACATACGGAAATGTGAGTTCTGTGCCCACATCCAGATCCTTGGTAGCGCGGATGATCATCATGTCTCCAATGAAGGTTCTACAGACGTTGCCAAGACAGCTGTGGTTGATGTATGAGGCCTTAATCCAGACGCCACAGTCATGGAGGTCTTCTTTGGGCGTCGTTCTCCCTGCTATTCGATCTTTGTATATGTTCAGACTCGTGAGGGGACAGGAGAAGTTGTTGAAAGCTTCGATTCGTTCGATGAGGAAGCTGGAGAAGAGTCGTATTAGTCTGCCAGGTCAATCGACTTGAGTAGTAGGGCGCTACTTACGTGTCGACTACCGGCTGTTCATCTACGCGCTGTGTGGCGACCGCTTGGTAATTTCCATGATACAGTGTAGTGAAATCCGGAGCCAGGGAGGGGTTCTTTGATAGCTTCTGCGCGATCAGTCGGATAAGGTCAGCCCTGACGCCTGTGGCGTCCAAACCCGACTCGACATTGACCAAGCGGGTGATGCTTGAGTTGCCTTTCTGTCCATCGTCAAGATGAGCGTGGCTGAAGGCCTTCTCACACAGCACCAAATCGCCGACCTTGAGGGGCTTGGTTGTGAAGAGACCGCGACCCTTGCCTTGCACTGGGCGATCCTCTACAGGCCCAATGTAGGACCCGTGATCTAGATGAGGTGGTCGAAATCTTGTTGCTTCGCTTCGGAGGTGTTTGAAGTCGAATCGTCCACTATCACACTCATCGCAACGACGCTGAGCACGAGCAAGCGCATTGACTGCGTCTTGATTGGTCGGACATAGTTCGCAGAGGTCTTTCAGCAGATCGCAGCACTCGTCGTAATGGCTGAGGTGGTACAGTGCCTGTGCTGCACGAAGCATTGCGCTCTCTGATCCTTCTTCACCGAAGCTTGGGTAACCAGTATCCCGGAGCGCGGCCTCATACTGCTTGGTACTGAGGTAAGCCAATGATCGATTCAGCTTGATCACTTTGATCTCGTCGGGAGTAGGCGATTGCAGCAAGGCGGCTGAATACCTATTCTACATGTTAGCGCACTCACTCGCTCGTTACATGCAATACTTACTTGTCGATCGCTTGCCAGTACTTTTTGCCGTTTATGAGAGCATTCCCCTCTAGTTTCAAAGTTTCTGCTGTTTTCACCTCAGCGTGTCGCGGTCGTTGGAACAGATCAGGTACTATCGTATCATTGTCTGAGAGAAACACGACATCAGAAAGGTGGTCCACTCGCAGACTGTAGTCTCCAGCTGCCGTAAACTTGAAGAACGGCTCCTTGATGAGAACAACCGAATGCTTATCGATGATATCTGTGGCTGGGCGGGTTGCTTCATCGTCCTGCTGGTACAACCGCAATGGTATGACATCCCCGTGCTCGTCTTCCGCCATAACCTCAATCGCTGCCATGCGTTTTGGAGACGTGATGGACCGCAGTACAATATAGCGACCGCTATGGTGTCGTTCAAGCCGAAGGTCTTTGATCGCGATAGGCTGCAAGTTCTTGAGAGGGACGACGGAAGGCGGATATGCCCGTGGTAAGAACGATGTGTTGATCAGAAGCCTCTCCTCGCTATCAGAACTCGCTGTTCCAAGCCCCTGCGCCGGTAGGAAGGCTGCTAGCAATGCATTCTTGTTCTTGCGGTCTCCGGGAATCTTTCTTTTCATCTGTCTAGCCTCTTGTAGCATGGCTTGATACTGTTCCATGGCTTGCTCGGGCTTCTTGAAGTCTGCGCACACATCCATTGTTCCGTAATCTCTGATGGCGAAAGATGTGAAAGTAGAGAGATGCCTTTCGTGGCTAGTCAAGGGCTTTTCACCCCAGACGGCTGATTGTCAAAAGCGCTCGCCTTGTGTGTTAAGCAATCATTTTCAGAGGGAAGCACATGTGTTTGTGCCATACCTCGTGTGCACATGAGCAAGCCAGGCTGGATGTGGCATCTGCTGGGAGTATACACCCACTATCGTTGATACACGCTTGGCCCGGTGCTTTTGACATGTTTTCCACAGAAGCACGCGATCATGCTGCCACATGCGCATATGTCGCAAAAGAACAAGCCTGTCGCGGAGGTATGTAGAGATACCGATACTACCGCGGTCCCTAGTTGTCGTCCGGCCAATTAACGAACAAGCTATCATCCAACTCTTCGAGCAGCCTTCGTCTCAGTTCTTCATCCGAGGACACAAGCTCATCATCGGGATCATCTACAGTCTCGACCGGCACTGGCTGCGGCGCTGGCTTCGGTCGCGACTTCGATATGCGAACCAAATTACCTCTCTTTCCGTACTTGAACCCCTCTGGCGGCGGTGGTGTCGCAGGTCGTGGCAGTGGCTCAGGGCTCTCTATCTCTCGTGGCGGACATGTGCGATTAATGCCATAAAACGTAAGATGTCTTCTCCATTCCTTCTTCCCGGCAATGTAAATGCCCGGTATCCTTATCTTCAAGTAGCCGTTACCTAGGAAGGATATGCCGAGCCGGACCTCTGGGTTCCCAGCACCCTCATAATTTTGGCGGATGCCTTGGAGGGGTTGTAGCTCCACAGATGCGAGTTTGGGGAGGTTGAGAGGGAAGTGCCACTCGTTCATGAGGCTGTAGAGGGAAAGCTTTGCAGTGGCTTCCATCGAAGAGAGTGCGGTGTCCCTGCCATGCTCTCCAATGATGAGTTTCCCCGTCTTCCACTGATGGAAGTTGAACCGTCCAGTGTATATCAGCGCTCGGTTGTCGACTTCGTGGAGGTCAAGATAGTTGGGAGAGTAGAGATCCCATTCACCTCGGACATCACCAACCTGCACTTCCTCTTCTCGATGGAGTCTTATCGCTAGATGTCTATGCGCTCTCTCGACGCGCTTTTCGTGCTCTTCTTCCACTTTCATGGCCGCATCATAGCCATCGCCGTCAACCTCGAAATCGGCGAGATCCGAGTCACCGGAATCTGATTCGTCAGAGTCCGGTTGGCCGGTATCAGATAGAAGAGAGGATTCAAGCGCATTCTTTATTCCTTTCCTGGCCGCGATTGGCCACTCTCTTGGAGTACCGAAGTTCGCGTTCTCCTGCGCGACTCTCTTGGCGGTGTGGGCACTGCGACTGACTGTCGCATCATCGGTAGCCTTGCGTTTGGGAGCTGGTCACGTCAATCCAGCCCGTCTCAAGGCTGCTGATGGTATACGCACCTCTCTTGGGCGGCATCACGATCTGTGAGCATCCTGACGCGTGTTGGAAGCGTGGGGTCGCGTCCAGCTGCGCGCGTGTGATCGGCGGTGATTACGTCATCTCATTTCGTCTTATCCCTTTTCGGGTGGGCAATACCAAAACGCCTCTTCTCCTGCAATCTTTACGCTCATCGCAGTACACGACATGTTCATCTAACACCAGTCACCTTTTACTTCACGTCGTTTTCACTTTCCACATGGGTCGTGACTGCGATAACGAAACGATTGCATCCGCCAACTCTACGCACTACCAAAAGACAGACGATATGTAGACAAAAAGACTCCCGTTAATGCACAAGAAACGATCGCGTGACATCCCTGTACTCCATTCCGAGATCCCGACAAATTTGTTCCTGGCTGTAGTCCGGATAATTAATCGGAATTAGCTTCTCTAAGAACTCGTTACACTCCTTGTCCCTGGCCCTCTGCTCCGATGTCAAAAGCGCCGTAGTAGAGACATGGTAGTCATACGCCCCCTTCCCAGCGACGATATCCCACTTGTTCTGCCAGTCTTCAGGGACCTCGGGCGAGTTCGGGCCACCAAAGACAGCAGCAGTAGGAAGAAACTGGCCTTCGTATGCGGGGTTGCGGGGCTGAAGGTTCACAGTACCGCGATGGGCCTCTGCGCGCAGGTAACACATGTTGCCGACGCGACTGATGATGTGATCGAGGACGTCCCATATCTCCGGCTTCTTGTTTGCCGAGGACAACATTGCAGATGCCATTGCGATATCTCGGATACATTTCAGACTGACTTTGGATCCAGGAACCGAGCTAGCTTTCAAGTCCCCAAAGTCTCGCAACCAGGCTTTGATCACATGGATCATTTTGTTGGCGATGAGATCCAGCGTCATGATGTCGAAATTGAGAAGGAACTCGTCCTCCTTCATGGCGTCCCGGTAAGTCTCAAGTGTCTGGAGAGGACTGAGTTCTTGTTTACGACGTTTGCCATGCTTCGACGTCTTCGATTCCTTATCCAGCCGATGTCGGACTACGCGCTCCAGAAGCCATATCGGCTCGTTCTTATTCTTGCCATTCTCGTCCGTCTTCAGCATCACCCGCTTTAGGCCGTCAAAAGCGGAAGCCTGTCTAACGAAAGCGGAGAAGATTTCCAGTTTGCGGCCGCCTAAACTTTTCTTCGTGTCCATCGTCTCGAACAACTCATACATTGGCCTGCCGGCGCGCTTGTGCTTGGCAAGCACACTGGGACTGAAGCCTCGCATCAAAAGTAGCCGCTTATCGCACTCTTCGTAACCGACCGGACGAGTTCCTAGGAAGAGGTGCGTCTCGGTTTGCTTGGCGATGAGATATTCCATGTCAGGCCACCGTCGCAACAGCCCGTTCTTGAGTCCGGCATTGTAGATGTGGCAGGCGAACAGGAGTTGCTCGGAATGTCTTGCAGCCTCAACACCGAACAGGTGCACACCTTCCTTATGACGCTCTAGTGTGCATCCAGCATAGGTTGGTTGGTTCTCGAGGTAGAACGGGCCATCCACCAATGTTCCTCCCCCGAGCCACGAATTGTGCATCTTGAACGTGTCGCTGACATGGTCAACCCTTTCAAGAGTCTCAAGAAGGCGATGCCATGAGTCGGCTAGTTGTGTGTACAAATATCGGCCCCATTCGCCGTCGTGATTTTCTGCAAAGTCGACGTATCGTCTCAATGCGCCACTCATTCTTGCGTTACCATCCAGGAGGTCCCTATGCGCACGAGGCACTTCCGCACCAAGCTCACGGTGCATGTCGACGAACATTTGGAGTGCGAATATGATCCAAGTGCTTGCTTTTTGCTCCTCATCAATTGTGTGAATTGCGCGAGCTAGGATATCATGGTCTCGTGTGAATGCGCCCACATCGGCTGACCTAGAGAGGCTCAAGAAGACGCTAAGGCACCTTCTCATGTGAGTCTGCTCGGTTCTGGCAGTTTTCCTGCCAGAGTGATAATCTACCATCACTTCCTTCTTGCCGTCGTGATCGAAGAGATGGTCTCGGAAATATACGTTATAAGTGTCTTTGCAGACAAAGGTTTGCGGTGACAGTTTGAAGTCATCGAGATCGTACCAGCCCATCTCGTCTTTCCGGGTTACGCCGTTGGTGCCTTGTTCTTCGAAGCTCTCAAGGAACTTGATCACTTTGTGGTGGCTTTCAAACTCTGGAAAGTCTTTGAGGAAGGCCTCGTTCACCCGTCGCAAGATGTCAACTGCGACATTGGCGGTCGTCGCTGCTGTGGTGAGCGCCAGGCTACGTTCCTTGTATCCGCGCCAGGTTTTGTGGACGAATAAACGAATTGCTGTCATATCTTTGAGGAAACAGAAAAGCGCAAAGGCCTTTTCACTCTTTCGGTTGGCGGACTCCTTGATACGGTAGCTTCGGCTCTGCGTGTCTGTCGACACCGAAGGCACGTAGCCCGATGGCTCAGCATGCTCTTGAACCAGACTGAGGTGTTCGAAGAAGTTGGATGTGCGACTATTCGTAGATGCTCCTTTCTCGCGTTGTTCCTTGGTCTTGCCTGCTGTCGGCGCTTTAAGCGTGTGGTAATAGTAATCGAGGATGTCGATGAAGAACTGATGGCCTTCATCATCAATGTCATCACCAGCTTCTCGCTCTGGCTTCGCTCGGTAGAAGCCTGCACATTCTTTACGAGCGGTGATTACACTCCACAGGATAGCTTCAACATCGGTCGGCAAAGTGATCTTAGCCTTCGCAAGGATATCGACCAAGGTCTTGAACGCGTGCAAAGGCACTTCGCTCACTCCATTCTGTCGGGCTGTAGCGCGAGCTTGTCCCTTAAGACGTCCGTTCTTGATCAATAAGTGGTCGATGGACTGGATTTTGGCGGCTGATGTAGCCAGCCAGGTAGCAACGATTTGCGTACCACTTTTGTAGCTGAGGTGGAAGGTAGTGGTTAGCTAACCTGGGTAGACGATCTAGATAGCGAATTCATACCGTTTGTAGGTATCCACCAGAAGAGATGGTAGATGATCCATGATAAGCGCCGGCGCCCAAACGTGCGTCCTTTCTCGAAATCGGAAGAGATAGTACACGCAAGTATTAGACGAAATGACAGAGTACGGAGAAAAGAGAGCTACCGACGCGGAGTCTGTGCGCGCTTAGCCTATTCGATACCCTGAAACAGATACAGTCTCAACGACTATTTCCACAAGATGTCTTCTTTTGATCCGCGGAGTCTCAGTTCGACGTGCGCAAATGGCCCATCGATAAAAGACTTGGAACGAAAGGAACTTGTACGTATTGCGATTGCGCTGGCAGTGGTAGACTTTCGCTGTAGCTTCCCATTCAAAAGAAGTGACAAAGACGTATTCGCTTAGCCTGTGAGACAACGTGAATACAATACTGAAGCATCTACTTCAAGGTCTTGCACGAGACAAACAGCATGGGGCACGCTCCGGTAGTTCTCTCTGCAAGCTCGACAGATCGTCGTTGCCTTCGAGGTCTGCTCGGTCCACCGGAACCAGGAAACGAATGTCGCGCGTCAAGATGGAGCCTGCGATTCTGCCACTAATCATCGAAGCAA